TAAGTGTGTCTAATTAATGATCCCAGAGTTTTAGATTTTGCCCCTCTCCTCATTGATCTCTCTTCCTAAATTCAGCACTGTCGATTTGTCACTTGTTTTCAAGATTTTAAGTAATCTCTACACCTAACAGGGGCACTCAAACTCAAAATCCCAAGATCAAGAGTCATATGCTCTACCGACTGAACCAGCCAGGTGCCCCTTGATTTGTAATTTTAATTCATCTCTTCAGATATGTCCTCAAACTCTCCATTACTACCACTACCAGGTTACTGTTTCAACGCAGATACTTAGCACTGTTCTTTTCCACCATCTGAATGATGGCTGGCTTCACTGGACCAAGCACCACAGCATACCACACCACATGCCCCCTTGTTCTTCTGTAAGTGCCACTAATGTACCCATCCCACCAAACAGACATTTAATACATATAATTCGCAACTTAGCCTAACTTACATTACTCTCAGCGGCTCGACAATCATACTGTGTAAACAAAAATCGCAAATTTCAGTCAAACCAAGGCAAGATATTTGTGTTTTCTTATCTACAGTTTCCGTCATGAAAATTTAGTCTAAAGAAAGAGAAAAAGCTTAATTGGGTTTGTTTTGGACGTTGGTCTTAAGTAAGCAAAAGATGGAATGGAATGGAATGGAAGCTCACCATTAACTTTATTTCCTACTCAAAGATACTCACGTTTCCATTTCCTGTCTTGGAACGTTTCCAAGTATGCTCTTCAACAGACAATTTCTCTGTGACTGGTTCCTCTACCTTTAGTCCCGACCTCTCTCTAGGCTCCAGATTCACATCTCCAGGTGTTTCTTGAATATTTATATATTTTATATTTCTTTGTCCTCAAACTCAGTATGTCTAAACTCCACGTTGCCTTCCCGATATTTTATTCAACTTCCTAAGAGTATCATCACTTTTCCATTCTGTCTCCTATCTTTATCTAGTCCTACTGATTTTTAAAAAAATTCTTTGTGCTCCTTTTTGAACTCATTTTTCTCTTGGTTCCCACAAAAACCATGATAAAGTAGGTTTTCGGCAGCCTCTCAATCAGTATCCCCACCTCCAGCTCATCTTCTTTTTTTTTTTAAGTAAGCTCTATGCCCAATGTGGGGCTTGGCCTCACAATCCCCAGATCAAGAGTCACATGCTCTACTGACTGAGCCAGGTGCCCTTCATCTTTCTTTTTTCTTACATGTCTATTTCATTTTGTTAATCTGTTGTTCAAAAAGTCTTTCACTTTTCTTAATTGGGAGCTTCTTCTCTAAACAGTTGGCTCTACTCAGCATTTTCCCTTTCTACTTTCTCATTCCACCATCTGCACAATAAACCCCACTGCTAGAGTACTTATCCTCCTAATTACCACATGTTCAAATCCTGATTGCCTTCATTGGTAGTTCAAGTCTCTTCGACGAAGCTGTTACTGTTCTTGAACTTACGGTCTATACACCACTATATTCAATGTTCAATTGCCAACTGCTTTGTACCTGAACTCTCTATATGTACTTGTCTTCCTGGTATGAATAGGAAACATGTCATATGTCTTTGCTGCTTCTGAAACTATCCCAATAATATATTACATTACTAAAAAGAAAAGAGGCATAGTAGTTAAGGAACATGATTAGGAAGTAGAAAATTCTGAGTTCAGACTCTGGCTTTGTTCCTTTCTAGGTGAGTGACCTCGGGCAAGTTACTTAACCTCTATAAGCTTTCCTATCTGTAAAACAGGGATAATTCCACCTATTTCATAGGGTTGTTGTGATGTTTAACAGAATATGTATATGTGTGTTTGCACAAACACAGAGAATGTTTAACACGGTAACTAACCCATAGTGAGTGCTTTCTAAACAGATGGCTGTTATGATTTTGCACACAACAGGTACTCCTCTTCAGTAAATACTTTAAACTGCACACTCTATAGATACAGTGCAATCCCTATCAAAATTCTAAAGGCATTTCTCACAGAAATAGGACAAACAATTCTAAAATTTGTACGGAACCACAAAAGATCCTCAAAAGTCAAAGCAATCTTGAAAAAGATAAACAAAGCTAGAGGCATCATGCTCCCTGATTTCAAACTGTATCACAAAGCTTCAGTAATTAAAACACGATGGTATTGGCCTAAGATAGACACACAGATCAGGGGAAGAGAATAAGGAAGTCAGAAATAAACCCATGCCTATACAGTCATTAATGTATGATAAAGAAGCCAAGAACATACAATGAACAAAGTATGATCTCCTAATAAATGATATTGGAAAAACTGGACAACTGCATGCAAAAGAATTAAACAAGATCACTTTCTTACATCATATACAAAAATAAATTCAAAATGGATTAAAGACTTGACTATAAGACCTGAAACAACATAAAACTCCTAAAAGAAAATATAGGTAGTAATCTCCCTGTCATTGGTCTTAGCAATGGTTTTTCGGAACCAATATCAAAAGCAAAAATCAATAAGTGGGACTATATCAAATTAAAAAGTTTCTGTACAGCAAAGGGAAACCACCAACAAAATGAAAAGGCAACCACTAAATGGGAGTATTTGCAAGTCATATATCTGATAAATATTTACAACTCATTTATCTACCAAAGTATATAAAGAACTAATACAAATCAATAGCAAAAATCAAACAATCCAACTGAAAATTGGGCAGAAGACTTGAATACACATTTTCCCAAAGAAGACAAAAGATGGCCAACAGGTACTTAAAAAGATGCTCCACACCACTAATTGTCAGGGAAATACAAATCAAAACCACAATGAGAAATTACCTCCCACCTGTCCAAATGGCTATCATCAAAACGACAAGAAATAACAAATGTTGGAGAGGATACCGAGAAAAGGGAACTGTTGTGCACTGTTCATGGGAATGTAAATTCATGAAGCCACTCTGGAAAACAGTATGGAAGTGCCTCAAAAAGTTAAAAATAGAACTACCATGTGATCCAACAATTCCATCTCTGGGCATTTATCCAAAGAAAACAAAAACCTATTAGGACATATGCACCCCTATGCTCACTGCAGCATTATTTGCTATAGCCAAAATATGGAAATAACCTGTGTCCATTGATGAACAGATAAAACAGATGTGACATACACACGTCTGTATGTGCGCACATACACACACACACACAGACACACAATTGAATTTGACCTTGCCATAAAAAAGAATGAGATCTTGCCATTGGCGACAACATGAATAGAAGCTGAAGCATTTTGCTAAGTAAAATATATCAGAGAAAGAGAAATAGCATATGATCTCACATATTACACATATATTTGTAACCTAAAAACAACAGCAGCAGCAACGGTAAAAAACAAGCTCACAGATATATGAAACAGACTGGTGGTTGCCAGACATGAGAATTTTGGAGGTTGGCATGATGGGCAAAGAGAGTCAAAAGGTCAACTTTCAGTTATAAAATAAGTCATGGGAAGTAGTGTACAGCATGGTGACTACTGTATATTTCAAAGTTGCTAAGAGAGCAAATCTTGAAAGTCCACATCACAAGAAAAGGTGATATGAGGTGATGGATATTAAGTGGACTTATTGTAGTGATCATTTCACAATATATATATATACAAATATCAAATCATCAGGTTATATACCTGAAACTAATGTATGCTATATGACAATTATACCTCAATTCAAAAAAAAAAGGTTGAATAAAAAACTGCAAAGGTCACATTAAATATTTTTTCTTAACAGGCTGTCAGGATTCCATTTCACATGAAACTTTACACCACCAATCACTGTATTTAGTCAAAAACTACATTTTGAAGCTACATTCCAGAAGAATAGGTAAGGCAACTTTTAACTTTCAAGCTGTGTGCAGATGCTAAGATCTGGTGTATAAAATTCTGTGAAAGATCAGTTTTCTCCACGTATATAACACAATCCAACACAATTTTCAGCAATTACCATTTCAAGAATGCAGTTAAAGCAGAACTGAAGAATCTTTGGGGAGATTAGAAAAGTTTCCCAAAAGCCAAACCAATGGATAAAAGATTTTGTCAGATAGGATAGTGGGAGTCCATCAAAAACTAGGGCTCAATGATTAGCAACCATAGCTAGCTTTTTTTTTTTTTTAGGAGAATCTTTTTATTTTATTTTACTTATTTATTTGAGAGACAGAGATCACAAGTAGGCAGTGAGGCAGGCAGCGAGAGAGGAAGGGAAGCAGGCTTCCTGCCAAGCAGAAAGCCCGATGCCGGCGGGGCTCGATCCAAGGACCCTGGGATCATGACCTGAGCTGAAAGCAGAGGCTTTACCCCACTGAGCCATCCAGGTGCCCCACTAGCTTTTTCTATTAAGAAGGGCATGAGCTTTTCTTCAACTAACAAGGCCATTACCAGCTCTTGATTGGTGCCTTTAGAAAACAACTGAAAAATGTTGCAACCGGGCACCTGGGTGGCTCAGTTGGTTAAGCAACTGCCTTCGGCTCAGGTCATGATCCCGGAGTCCCAGCATCAAGTCCCACATCAGGCCCTCTGCTCATCAGGGAGCTGGCTTCTCCCTCTGCCCCTCACCCCTTTCATGCTCTCTCGCTCTCTCTCAAATAAATAAAATCTTAAAAAAAAAAAAAAAATGTTGCAACCTAGCATGTTAGAAACCAATGACCTGACCTTTTCTTGGTTGAGGTAATTCTTTTTTTTTCCCCCTAATGAAACGTATGGTCTTTTCTCCTTTGTGTGGCAGGTCACAACATTCCCTAGGTTAAGTCATACTGTATTTTAAAAATCAGATATAATGTCTCCGCTATGGTTCCAGGACTTTCCACCAGGAATATCTATGATCTTGCTGGAGAAACTGCACTGAGGATAACAAGTCAATGCCATGTCTCCTTTTGCCTTGATGTGGGCCTCCCACATTGATGTGTACCCAGAGAGCAAATGTCTCTTTCCACTGCTACCCAAACCGCCTCCCCTTAAAGGCCCCAGCCCTCCTTATTTTCTGGCCCCCATAGTTAGGAAAAACTCCATGCCTTACCGCAGATGTTAGACGAACAAGAATTTCATCACTGCTTTCTTCTGAGTCTTCAATTTTCTGATGAGACCTTTGAAAAACAAAGATGATTTATTCTTAATTTTGATTGCTCAAATTTATCTACCAAGTTATGGAGAACACATAGCAAATAATGGCATTATTAATACATGAGTGAAAGTACCCATGCAAATAACATGGTGTCAGTAACACCAGGGGACCCAGCTCTGTGGCAGCCCAACTGTTCCTTCAAAATCAATTAGCAGGAACTTCTTTATAGTCTACCAGTTAAATCCTGAGGATCGAGTATTTGTCTCCAAATGATATCACAAAATAGTTCTGACACATGAGATTTATGAACATGGGCATGCACAAAGCATAAACAGATACGATTGGAAGGTGGTTAGGTACCAAAATTCCCTACTAGTCTAAATGAAATACAGATTTTGAAAATCTGACACATGAATTTCCTGCCACATCTGAATTTCACCCAAAACCGATTTGTTTTGAAATGGTCTATTATAATAGGCCTAATACTGTGACAGGAATTACGTGAAATACAACAGCAGCAGAAGTTCTTCACTCTTTTTTAAAGTACTCTAAAGCTCTAAGCCCTCATGCAAAAAAAAGAAGAAGAAGAAGAAGAAGAAAGAAAGGAAGAAGAGAAAATGCCACAGCCCAGTTGAGAAGCCAAGAAAACGGCACATATGCTAAATATGCTAAATAACTAAAGAGATGTATAACATATAGTATAAGACCAGTTTGTCTGCTTAGGAGAATCACCTTTGTAATGTATCTCATGAAAATATTTTCACCACACCAATGTATACATGAACATAAAATTATTCATTTCTTTTTTAAATGAAGCATATTTGACACACAGTATTACCTTAGTTTCAGGTGTACTGAAATTATCTTTAAAGCAAATTTTATAAAATGACATCTTTTTTCCTGGCTTGGTCAAAGAAAAGAAAAGTTAATGCCAATTGAGCATAGGTAATTATCTCACAGATCTATTCCACAGCAATCCCTTTCGCCACCTTCCGTGGACTCCGAGGGACCAGGGTTAGTTGCCCTGCAGGGCGGTGTTAACCAGAATGGCAGGGCAAGGATTGATTTCAATCTCAGAGACAGCCGGGGATCGGCTCCAGCACTCACCTGGCGGGGCAGGAGGGCTAAGGAGATCTTTAAGAAGGGAAAAGTGAGTTGGATCAATTCTGGCATTGGCTTCCTGTTCCTTTGTTTTTAAAACCTTTTATAGAAAACAAACAAACCAACAAACAGACCCCAACCCTCTAAATCAGAGCGGTGGATGAAAAGCCATTCACCTTCACCAGAACTGCATGCTCTAGGTAGGAAGCGGGCCTGGCGCTGTCAAGTCCTTTAACGACCTGTGCTGCAAAGTGCTCGAAATGCGAGCTAATAATCCACCCAACAAAGACAGTGTGAACTGAGCATTATAAATCCCCATATTCCCTAAAAAGCAAGTTACCCTGATAATGCATATTTCGAACAATGAACTTTATTATTAAAATTATCTATTCATGAGGTTTCCACATACATGACGTTCTCCTGAGAAGAGATCTGCAATCCTTTCTAACCTAAGCCATCCAACCAGGTGTACAGGGTTAAGTTGAGTTCACTGGACAGATGGGATGGGGAATTGAGAGCCAAACACAATGGGCACCAGGGCACCAGCAAGGGCTTGGGCACTGTCTGCGTCTGCAGGGAAGCAGGGGCTCGTCCCGCCAGCTCCTGGTTTTCAGACCCTGGCACATAGCTCAGCAATGAGTTTATGGGATGAGGTATTTCACACTAGCAAAGATTCCATCATGAATGTGTTCAATAAACTGCTGAAAGGAACTCTGAATTCCAAGGGAAGGGAAATTCTTGTGTATGTGACTGATAATGGCTACCTCGTGAGTAACCACTGAGCCACTGATGGTTTACTGACAGATAATTTAGTTCCTGTTCAGAAGCAAAACTACCTCTGGTCATTCTTCCAGCACAAAACATGCCCTGGCAAAACAAAGCAAAACAAAACAAAACAACCAAAAAATGTTTCCAAAGGAAGTTATGTGTAAGACAGACAGAAGTGACCTCCCAAGAGCCGTCCTGCAGCCCTCATCCCATTTTTATCACCAAAACCACCACGACTTGTGCCCAGAGCTCTCAAGTCATTCTCCAGCCCCTGAATCTCCCCCGAGCTCACCTTGCTTTACAATCTGCCTTCAAAAGGGTTCTGGGGGGCAATTCCAGGAACCTCATTTTCTATGGGCTCCTTGAAGTCAACATAACTTACATTATATTCCTACCGCCTCATGCCTCTCACAACTCAGCTCCGTGGTCACCCTGTGGCCATTCCCTCTCTTTCCTTCACTTCCCCCCTGTTAAACCTCACTGACAACTGAAGCCTTCTACTTCTCTTGCACAAATTATTTTTACTATCTTCTAACCAACTTCTTTGTCTCTGGGTTCTCCTCTTGTGCCCCATCTCCTATAGATACCAGGATTATCTTTCTAAAACTGAGACCTGATCCTGCTCCTCTAAGAGTTCAAACCTTCAGAGATTATCCTACAGCTTACTGAAAGATCTAGAATTCACAAAAACTCTTCCTTTCCCGCTCATGTGCCCCCAAACCTCCTGCACTGGCAGGCACCCGCATCTGACCTGGCAGAGTAAGGTCTTAGGAGAGGGTCTGGTGGTAAGAGGTAAAGAGTGGAAGAGCTTAGAGAAAGGGAAGGCTAATACCTATCACTGTGTCCCCTCTCCAGATCTATGCCAAAATGCCCAGAAATACCAGACCTTCTTTACTCAACAAATTTATTTTTATGAAAGAAGATAAATGTTGATTTTATGTATAGAGACACACATCATTACAATCCAGTGAAGACAAAGCTCTCCCATGTCAGATCAAAACAGGTAATGAAACAGGGCAAGGGGGGAATAAAGAAAAGAATCAACTGTAATAGTTGCCTATTTTCCCATTATTACTCAAGGGGATCAATGAACAGAAGAGGAAGAGAGAAGCTCTGTGTGGTTTGTCAGTGGTTACAGAAGGGAAGCAGAAAAAGCCCAGCTGGCATCAGCAGGTAATAGCCATGACAAGTGACATGAGACAGAAAGAAACCAGCAGTGACCCCAGGAAGGAAGACCCATCCCAGAGTGTTTGTGCCAGCAGGAAGCTGTGGCCCAGCAGGCAGGACAGATTTACAAATTCCTATGGCTGCTTCTCAAGGTCCCTGCTTCTCAACAGCCCAAGCCAGGTCCAGGAATTCTCCAACGGAAAGTCCCGAGTGCTGGTACTGTGCGCAGATGTCTTCAGTCATTTGAGAGGTCTACAGGATCTAAGGGTGCCAGTGGGAGGACAAAGGAATGGCAAAAGCTGCCTCTGTCCCTTTAACCATCAAATAGAACACAGTATCATTCTACCCAGTCCCCACCAAAAACAAAACCAAGCCAAACGCTGCCCTCTCTAGAGTCTTTCTCCTTCATCAGTGACAACCCCAACTTTCCAGCTGGAAGTTGAATAAATTAGTGGAGTCCCTGAAACTTTAAGGAGTGCTCTACGAATCTCTATACCAAGATTACCATGCAGAAGGTGCTGGCTTGTTACCTGCAGTCAATTCAACTGAAGGACCCTGCTTTTACTCAAGAACGCTTTGCCTGAGCTATTCCATGGTTCTCCCAGCTCCCTGGAGCAGTTCTGTCTTTCAGTGACCTTCTTGCCATTCACATCCAACCATGACTTTCTTATATCAAATACGAGAGATGTGGTAACTGAAAATATCTTTAAAGTCTTAGCAATACAAGGCACCCCCACCTCCTCACCTTTTTCTAAGAAATAACTAGTATAGACGTAGTGACCCAGCCAATTATTTGACAATTATTCGTACAATTCATTCCACAGCAGAAAAGAACAGTAAGTCCCCAGCCAAGAACATCTCTTAGCTCTGACAGCTCTGTAGTCACATAGTGTTGAGTTCCAATAAAGGGGCTCAGGAGGTACTGAGGCCCTCCTCAGTAAAGGCGGCCATTATCTGGGCAATAGAATTTATTTTATACCGTTCAGGCCCAGTATAATTTCTAACAATTTGGATTTAACTGGTATCCCTGTAGGGCTTCCCAGCATTCTCTCAGTGAGAATTCCTTCACGAGAATTAGCATAATGGGTTTGAAATAATTCCAATGAAGTTCTTAAAAATACATCTTCTTTATGAGAGACAGAACCCACGCTCCTCAACCAGATTTTGGCCAAACATTTGTGCCTTAAGATTCAAAAGCAACCAATACCATCTTGGAGTTGGAAAACCCTACTTCCTTCGTAACTGGAAGAAGTTTTCATGGTATTTCGGGGTGGAAAACTGGAGCCATTTTATTATAGAAATATCATCCAAATAAGACCACTTTACATTTGTATATTGATACTTCAAAAATGCATGAGTTGTCTGTCCATCTATGTCTCAATATTAAATAGCGTACGTGGGCTGCCAAGAGCTACCACTATGCATAACATTGTTCCTTTAGGAAAATGTGTTAAATGTCTGTTTTATGGTTGTTGGAATTGCAAAGATTTGGAGTCGAGTAGTTCAAGAGGCAGAGACTGTGCATTAACTGGCACGTGCCAAACCAGCTGGTTATCCACGACCTTCCAGACATACTTGTGCTGACACCATACTGAGCTGCACATTACGAAGAAACCTAACACAAGGAGTTGTGGCCTCAGTCGGCTTTCATGTGAAATGCTATTACTGCTCTCCCAGGGGCTCCATTTGCGTCTGGGTGCTTTTTGCATTCACATACACATCAATCTTCACATTAAAGAGAGATAATCTAGACTGGGACCCAAGGAGGGTGGGGAACACGCCTACCTCCAAATCAGAATTCTGACGGGGAAGAGTTTTGTTCTAGGGGGATGTCAGGCAGGCCTGTTCACTACATCCCACCATCACCCCCCACCCCCCAAAGCTGGGCTGGTGTTGAGCTGTCCTGTGCTATTTGGTTTGGAGGGACCAGAGGGAAATACAATATTTAGGATGGACCCAAGACTACCTCTGCTAGAGGCTGATGAA